TGTGCTTTTGTTAAAATATTATTTATTTTGATTTTCAGTACAGTAAGATTTTTAATATTTTTAATTTTCAACATATAATATATTATATTGCAAAAATTAAACTATAATTATTAGTCTCAAAGCAATTTCTGTCCTAGTTGGAGTAGGTATATAAATCAATGTTACAGCACTAGCTTTTGCCTGTTCAATTTTTCTTCAAATTTTATCTGATTTAAAATATTATTTTATTTAAAATTTTTGTCCGCATGCAGTAAATGCGGCACCAGTCAAGTTAGACGGATGAGATATACAACCAAAAAAATAGTACAAAAATAACAATGAAAACCCTAAATTGATGTCCCTAACAAAATTAAGTTTGATAGCTGGGTTATTGCATGTCATAATACAAGTCATAACTCACATGATGGTAGTGGTTGTGTAGATAAGAAATTTTAATAAAATACATATTGACAATTTATTTTTGACACATTTTGCTTAAACTATTTATAATTTTGTAACATATTTTTGATAAAAACTTATTGACGTTGCGAAAAAGACATATGGGGTGAAGCCTTCTAAAAGCAATGTAGAAAGTAGCAGTACAACATGAAGAGGAGTTCCATGATTAATGTCATTCACCGAGGTGAAGTTATTGGAGTATATATGTCCAAACAGTCCTGTGAAGTAACTGAATTTCAATCATATTGAAATGTAAAATGGAATTATTAAATAATATTGCAGTAAATATTGAGCGGAACTTTGTTGAGTACTTCAGAGTGAAATATCCATTTCTTTGTACTTTAGTGTTCATGAAGGAATATCTAAATATTTATTATGTTATGACCAAACGATTTTAATAAAGAGTTTTTGCAGGCTCATTGGTCAAACATTTTATTATTATTAAAAATAAAAATCAAGAAAAAGAATCTTAAAATATTTATAAACGAATTGTCTTAAATTATTATGAGCATAATTTTCATGTTTTCATTTTTAAAAATTTATAACCATGCTTCGCTTTCAGGCAATATAACATACATTGCTTCATTAATTCTATTTTTTGCAAAAATATCTTTAAAAATTTTTTAATAACTAGAATTTTAGGGTTTGAGACTCTAATTTTTTTATTATTTTCAGTAAGAAGAGATTCCTCTTTATTCATACTCTTATCACTATCAGTTGTAGTATCATTCGTTTGCAAACAAAAATTCAGAACTTTACATGAGTCTTCCACTTTATTCTTAGAAGACTGATAAACAATTACATCCACGGAATCCTCATCATCACTTTTCGTTACGCTTAGAATTGGATCCAGTAATTTAGAGCTATAGTGCTCAATAATATTGTCATCTGTAGGAAAGCTTAATGTACAAATTTCATTGTCAAACTTAATATAAACGTTCAGAGTAGCATTGGAAGTTATTTTATTTACTTTAAACCACACTGTTAACGACTGGCATTTGCATAAAGAAGCAACATAAGAAAGAAAAAATTAAACATTTGTTTTGGGAAAAGGGACTTCCCCTAACACCAAAATGGATTCACACTTAAAACAAAAATTCGACTTATACAATGCACTTTCCCCATATTCCAATTGGCATAAAACAAAATTTTTGTACAAGATATTGAGAGATTCGACTTATAGAATTGTGTGTAATTTGCTCTCTAAAGCTTTGGTGCACTATTTTTAGTTCGAGTTATAGAAATTCGAGTTATGGAAGTTTGACTGTAATTCAAAAATTAACAAAAGTATAACATATTTGTTTAAAATCTTACTGTAATTAAGTTCAAATAAATTTTTGTCTTATAAAGTACATAATATGTATACTAAAGATAATCAACTACTAATTTCTTTTTATTCTTGTGTAACAATAATCCCAACAGATATGCATAATAAAATGCAATTCAAAATATGAATGGGATTTATCGGTTTTTACGCTTTTGAGAATCAAAATCGATTTACTCTGCAAAGTAAGATGTTAACTGCTTTATTATGCAAAACAAAAATAAAAGATACATTTATCAGCATTTGTTTAGTAACTGTGAGTTTAACACAATACTTTTAAATAAACACAAAATAAAAGGCAGAAGTTTTTCGATATGTTTGCAAAATATTAGGATGCATTTTTGTTCTACACTTGATTTTTGGAGGATATACTCTAATTCTTTTGTTAGATTTTTTTATTGTTCAAAGAAACTGCACTGCATAAAATGTTCTTTTAGATACACATAAATATGTAGGATGGTAGTTTATGTTTACAAATTTATATACCTTTAAAGAAAACAGGTAAGCTTCGTGCTTCTCTGTGATGAATTCACATTTCGTCTCTTTGATTTATTATTCTGTGTGCTTCAGATCATCATGATTTATATACTTATCTCTCACGAATAACTTAGTTGAATGTCATGAAAATTATATATTGCTTTAAACTGACTATACGAGCATGACTAATTACTAGAACAGTTCACTGCAATTTAGTCACTCTTAGTTGACCGTAAATTGTTTACAAAACGCAGAAAAGAGAAATATTGTACGAGAACTGTTGTAAGGATAAGATGTTTGCAAGGATAAAATACTGCATAGTTAATAAGTCACTGTTAAATGTACAACAAAAGAAAGATATTTACAATAAAAAAATTGTTATAAATAAAGTTTTTTTAAATTATTATTATTTTTTTATTTTTAATTAATTGAATTTCTGGCTGTCTATACAGCTGTTTCGAATATTGCCAAGTACCCATTATCATTAGTCTTGGAACTATATTTTGTACTTAATTATTCATAAATAATTATTTGAGACTGCAAGTACTAAGGGTTAAACTCTTGACCAACTGACCTAAGGCCGTACTTGCTTATATGTTCGAACTTGAAGTTTTGTTTGAAGTTTTGTGGTAAAAGTTTATTAACAAATTCACTTGTTATGTTATATTAGAACGAAATCATAAACCAGCTGTAAAATAATGGAATTATTTAATTATAATTTTTATTTTTAATTATTAAATTTCAATACTATTTTTTTAGTAGAGGCATTATTTATTGCATGATTTTATAACTCTATCTCGTATACAGAACCTAATCTAAGAACGTAATTTGGAGGAAGTCATGCAAATGTTACGCCACGACTTAAAACTTGAATGAATATTTCTATTCATATTCTATTCCATAACAAATCTATATTAAATTCAGTTTGAACATCCGTTTTGACGAAAGAGACTAAATTCTTAATATTTACTATGGTTTCAATAGAGAGTTTTTTATCGAACTGTGTAGAAAGTACTGTTCGATAAAAACTATTACGAACAATACACGACACTGCTGTATGCTCAGCCAAAAACTCAATTAATTACAAATAATAAAATAAATTTATGTTGTTGCAATTTCACTACGGTTCGATAAAAATCTCTCTATCGAAAATAATAGTTTAAATAAAGCATTTAGTACCTTTAACCAAAACCGACGGTAAATATCAATTTAATTTGAAAAATTATTAAATACTTTTTATATTACATATTAA